AAGACATGTCTGCCAGGCACTTACTTATAGCCAACGAAGCGCGGTGCATATCTCTGGATCTGGGTCTTGAACTCAGATGGGCTCACCACGTCATTGAGAGATGAAGTCCATATGGTTTGGATTAGTTTTGCAAACTCTATGAAAAGGAGAAGGTAGAGGGTGGAGGACAGGTGAGACCTTTTCTATAAGCAACTCCTAAATTAGAATCCCAGCAAAGAGTAGCCAAAGAAGGAAAGACAGGAGTGGTACATATAAAACACAACCACTGGTGCAGCAATAGTAGAGTAGGAAAGGTGTCCCAAGGGGAAGCAGGACTGTGTCGGTGGGTGGGTTCCTCACCTTCCATGAGGGCCGTGTGTGCATTGCTACTGTGGCTGAGATCCCGCATGTAGAGCCTCTGGAGGCAATAGTCTCTCAGCTCCCGGGTATTGCTCAAGCACTGCAGAATGGAGTTCATGAAGCACTGTGGGAGATGACCCAGAGCATCAGGGGAAGCACCTCTACTTACTCAGTACCAAAGGCCCTTGGACTCAACTGCCTCAGAAATGAATCCTCCCTCAGCCTCAAGTTCCTTTCCTTGTAAGTGAAAGGGGCGAAATGAGGCAAATTCCCACTGCTGGCACAGGTGAAGTAGCTGGTTATTTACTACAGAGGTGCACAAGGGGTGTGGGTGAGCTGGACAGAAGTGGGTGGGATGTGACAGATGTCCTTGAGGAGAAAGATCCAGAAAAGGCTGACAGTTAAAAAGGGCAACTCCCCTTTAGCAGTGCTTCCTGCTGTGGGCAGGGAGTAAGCTGGAGCCAGGAGGGGACTCTGGTTAGATTGTCCCAGTCTGGAGAGTAGGGGGTGGCCCCAGGAAAGAAGTGTAGGAAAGAAGGGAAGAACTTACCGTGTTCCCAAGGTTTCGAAGACCAGCCAGACCCTGGGCACTCTTAGAATTCTGTAAGCAATGAACATAGGGCACATGAGACTGAAGGCCAAGAGGCTGGCCTGTGCTAGGCTCTCATGCAACTCTGCCAGCTGGAGCCATGAGCACCAGGCCACACGTGTGACGCTCTCTTCAGCTTTAGTCTGCACACCCTGTAGGAAAGAGGACTGACAAATGCCTGCCATTTTCAATACACACAAAAATGCTCTTTAGGGCTTTGCTTTCTTTTATTGACTATGCATTCCCCCCATCTTTATGTTACTCTTCATTCTCTACCATATTGGAGACTGGAGATTAGAACTAGAGACTAGAAATTCATATATTTGGGAACATATTTGACTCCTGGTCACAAGAAATTTCAGGTCCTAAATCCAGACACTATCTCAAATATCTGTATCCCCAGGTGTCTAATATATAAAGCGGTTGTCATAATAAGCACTTCAAGGAAGTCTTGAAGAGTTCAATGACAAAACATCTTAACTGAGTTTAGATATTTGGGGGGCAGGGAAAGAAATCAAGTCAATCTGTCATTATGACTGGCCAGAGACAGGTGGAATTCTTTCCAGGTGAGCTCAGCTCCTGAGGGCTGATTAAAGCCTGGGAGAATCCTCCCCGCCTGGCTCAGGTTTCAACATCCCGCCTGGCCACTGGCTGAGAGTCCTTGTGATGGCAGATTATGGGTGGCAGAGGCAAAGCAGCTGGCTGAAGGTGCCATTCCTGCTCTTGTCCCTGCTGTGGAGGTTGGTGAGGGGTCTGGAGAGAGAACAGGTGCCAGGTGGAGGACTCTGAGCATAGTTTGTCCAGGCCAATGGCTAATTCTGGCCCTACCTCCAAGGAATCAGAAAACCTTCAGGCTCAAAGGGTTAAAGCCATCTGGCCTGGCCAGGCGTGGCTCAGCGGTTGAGCATTGACCTAGGATCCAGGAGATTGAGGTTTGATTCCCAGTCAGGGCACATGCCCGGGTTGTGGGCTCCATCCCCAGTAGGGGGCGTGCAGGAGGAAGCTGATCAACGACTCTCTCATCATTGGTGTTTCTCTCTCTCTCCCTCTCCCTTTCTCTCTCTGAAATCACTAAAAGATAAAAAAAGAAAAGAAGCCAGGTGCAGATGAGTCTGCTGCCTGCCCTCTAAGAGAGGGGGCCTGGGAGCCAGCAACTCTGGAGCAACCCTGGCTGGGGCATGCTTAACCAGCTCAACCCTGATCAGAACAGGAGCCTGGAATAACTTAGCTAAAATTACTCATGCTCTGCCCTGGCCCAGTGGCTCAGCTGGTTGGAGCGTCATCCTGGACACCAAAAGGTTGTGGGTTCAATTCTCAGCCAGGGCACACATCTAGGTTGTGGGTTTGGTCCCCAGTCAGGGCGCGTATGGGTGGCAACCGATCGATGTCTGTCTGTCTGTCTGTCTGTCTTCCACTCTTGAAACATATCCGAAGGCGAAAATTTTAAAAAATATAAAAAAAATAACTCATGCTCTGTGCTGACAGTCCAAAACCCATGAGGCTGTCAACTCAAGGGGCTGGGGAGGGAAGAGGCAGGCTGAAGGAGGACTTTTCTCAGGAACTGACATGCTGAGCCCACAAGTGAGAGGATCCCTCCTCTTCAATTATCAGGTCTAAGACTAGGGAAGAAAATATATCCAGAAGAGATATTTTCCATCAGCAGCGAGAGAGAAAAGCCTTTTGGCAGCAGGTGGGGGTGAGCATCCTTGAAGAACTCTGCCAGGACTAGCAGCATATGGTCCTGAACACAACATCTGAATCTTACATTTCTGAGTCTAAACTCTGATGTTCCAGTAAGAGGGCCACAACAGAAAGGATTCCCTGGACAAAGACCTTATCAGCATTTTCAGGTAGACCTGGAGAAGGACTCCCCTGGGGCCCAACAAAAATATTGCAGGAGCCTCTGTGTTGCATATAGGAAGCTACACGTTAAAGCCCACCCACGAAGAATACCCTCTCACACCTATTTCTGTGGGTGCTTTATTAGTTCTTACCCCCTGGGCCTCAGACAACATCTGTCTAAATGGGCTGTTGAAGCAAAGTAACTCTACCACTGGTGACCATGTAAATGTCCACCCACGTGGGCCCTCGCGGTAACGCAGAACCAGTGATGGGACAACAGGACAGTGGAGGTGTTTGTCTTCCTACTGAGGCACTGTGGTGTGGACATGTCAACTCTGAGCCAGCAGAGGGTCACGAAGAGCCTGTTGTCACCGTTACTTTTCTTGAGGTTCTAACCTTACTAATGGCCTGGTGGGTGGAGTGAAGTTCCTTTAAGGCATTGCTAGGACTCTTAGTTTTTTTGGGGGAATGTGGGGAATGTTGGGCCTTTCTCTAAAACTTCCTGAGTTCAAACCCACATGCCAATTTCTCAGCACTCTGTGTAGAAGGTGGGTGAATAGCAGGAGTCCGGGTGGGAGCAGAGGGGAGAGCAGGGCTGTTGTGTGCCCAGCAGATATTCCTCTGCCATGAATAGGCAATCAGGAGCTCCAGGGGAAGTCAGCACTTTCCATTCCAGAGAGGAACAAAATGTCCCAGGAGTGACCTTTCCTACGGGGAAAACAGCCCTACCTCAGGGCTGACAGGGAGAAGCTAGAGCTGCTGAAGCTGGAGGCCCTGCAAGCCAGCCTCTCCGCCGAGCAGGCGGGACTCCAGCTGGTGCGCTGGGGCTGCGCGAGGAGCTGCGCAAGTCGGGAACTTCCTTCATATCAGCCACCAAGCAAACCTAGTTTTGACTTAGTAGCAGCCACTGTTCCAGAAAGTAGATGCCACCTTCACAGTCAGCACACAGATCTGAGTCACCTTCAGGGAAGGAGCAGGGGGCTCGGGAGGAGCAGGGGAAAGGGCTGGGTCTGTCTTCACGCCCCAGACCCCGGGCAGGGCCTCCCTGCGAGCTCCACCTGCGCCCCGGCCCGAGTCCCCAGCAGCCAGGCGCCCGGGGCGGCGGCGGCCCACGCGGGGGCTGCGGCCTGTTACGTAACCGCTGCCAGGCTCCGGCCCCTTCCTCCTGCTCCCAGCGGGCAGTGCCCACCTTCACCCAGGCCTTCTCTAGGCTGGCTACTGCATTTGAGGGACCCACTGCCCACTGAGCAGACTGGAGAGGGAAGGGAAGCTACTCTTTTCCACCCGCGGAAACTGCTCGCCCGTGACAGGCCTAAGGGTCCCTGCTCCCGACCTTTTGGGGTCGGGGCGTGGGGAGGCAGCCCCTTTCTGACCGCCTTCCCTGCTGGGCTCTGGCCTTGAGGAGTCACACCCGCGCAGCCCAGCGCGCCGCCGGCTCCCTCGCACGCCAAGAACTAGTCAAGGTTACGCTTTGCTGCACCTGTCCTGGTAGGTGCCAGGAATTAGAGCTCCAGTCACCGGGCGCCGCGGGTACGGGGCAGGGCGCGGGGTCAGGGCCTCAGCAGGGGAGGGGCCGAGAGAAGCGTGAGGTCACCTGGGGTGGGGGCATTC